GCGCGCGCGCGCCAGCTTGATATATATATATATACATATATATCAACTTACCATTGACAGAAATCTTGGGTTGACGTGTATAGATCCTGAAGGGATGCTAGTGGATGGGGCAGTGATTGGCCATGCAGGATCGATACTTTGTACCCGTACATCTAATGAAAATAATTTTTTGGTGGAAATACATCGTTCCACGTTTGCCGCAGCTTCCACATGCTGGCTCTTGTGTTTTCATCGACCTATTTATGAAAATAAACATTATTATATAATAAAAAGAAAAATTATAAGGGATTTCAATGTAAAACCGATCTCTTTTTTTATTATTTTAACACGTATGATTTATAGAAAATTTTCTTTTGTTTTTATTTATTTGTTCAAGTAGTTTATAAAGATCTTTCTCAGAATTTCAATATACAAATATATTTCCTTTCTGAAAGAAAGATCCGTTGTTATAAAACTTTGTATCTATGAAGCTTCGTGAGGTCGGTGATGTTATATTGATCAAACAATTATCTTATGTCACTGTGAAATGTGAAATACGAAGCGAACTTTACAGAAGCTATAAAATATTCCTGCATTGAGAAACTCGATAAAGTTTGTAGTTTTGCCTCATCACGCACGAATAGAAACCAAAGGTTACTCCCGGTCAAAGGCAGATCCTTGATCGCGAAGATCGAATCGCCACAATGCGTCTGACGATCAACGATTTTATAAAAACAATAAGGATATTTACCTTCTCAAACACATCACAGAATGTGTTTACTATGTTCTGCGTGAAGAGATTCAGATAGTTGCCATTCACATTCTTGACTATCGAATCGATGAGATAGAGTACTGGTAACTTGATGTCACTTCTCACCTAATAAAACATAACAATATGCATATATATGCACAATATAATATGCCGCTATTTCGCCATTTGACAAATATACTTAATGTTATTAATTAGATGTGTTTGGTTTAAAATATATATACACAGATATATTCCAGAATTATTATTATTCCCTTCAACCACAAATTCTTTCACTAATTTGAAGTCCATTTTTCCTTGGAACTGCTTGATAGGAAGCCTAAATCACGGAAATATTTTATACAGAAGATCGAAGCTGTATCGAATCACCAGAGGATAATTTCGCAAGGGTGACATAGTAAAATCTTATACTTTTCAATTAATTACAAATATATTTTATTTGTACAAATATTTAACTGCGGCTGCATTGCCAGTACATTTAATGCTGTAAAGTAAAAGAAAGTGCAGTGAACGATAGCCACCTATCAAATTTCCATTGGGAAAATGTCAGTTACAAATTTGTTAAAGAATATATAGCTAGGTAAAATATAATAATTTCAGGATAATCTATACATGAAAATCTGTATTTGTTATTGCATTCCTCATAGAAACAATAGATTATTATACAAATTATACCTATTTAATCATTCATTTTTACAAATATTGTTTAAACATTATGTAATCCTAACAACGTATATACAGTGCATACATTTTATTTAAAAAAATATATAATACGTCAATTTATGACATTAATGTATTTCAAGGAATGAAATATGTGGCGTATCAATATTTTAATATAAATACAATATTCAAGTCAATAATTAAAAAAAAGTATTTATTTTGACATTATATAACGTAAACATCGCTATTATATAAATCTTGATATAAAATATTGTTTTCTACATAAAACGCAGTCTCGAACTATTGCAGTTCTTCAGACATGCCTTCTCGAATTTTCTAAATATTAATTAATTCATGTAAAAAGAAAAGACAGGAAGGCTCATTCTATATAAAAAAATTATTATTCTGACACTGTGCTCATATAGCAAACACATTAATTATATTCTTTACAAAAGTATCACAGATCGTTTATAAATACCTATAAACAACTCGCGAATTGTGCGATGCAAAGGAAAATGGTAACAAAGACGAAATTACAAAACTGTCGTGCATGCTGTACGCTATATGTGACATAGATACATTATCGTTGTATCTACATAAAGGAGCGCTTTGCAACTGGAAAGAAAAATATCACTAACAATGAAAAAAGGAAGATTCACGATTCTATGCGAGTTAACATTGATATACGAAATTGTTGAGGGCGAGTAAAGGTATTTTAAATTTAACTATGGTGGATAGGTAACCTTTTGCAGATGAGTCTCGACGGCTTGCACTATCGCTGGTGCATGTTCAATGTTATCTTCGGCCAGCATGGTGAGCATGTTGATAAGCGGCTTACTGTTAATGGTGAGATCGGACAAGGATGAGATGTACTCGTCCGCAACTTCTTTGGACTTTGACGCAAACATGATGCTGCCGCTAATAAATAAATATGAGATCCCGAGTGAACCGAAAGTTGAAATTCAAACTGCAACATAAAATGAAAACCCACATTATATAGCACACAGTTTACTACTGAATTAAGAAAAAATAGATAAAGACAAAAAACAATATGTATATCAGAAAAATACAATTGGAATTCTTATAACTTTCGTATCGTTTTTTTTTTTTAAGAATAATCTTCGTTTCCGTCGGACTTTGAATGAAAGAGATTTTCGGAAATTAGAATTGAGCGAAGTTTTTTGTCTTTTCCAACGAACAATCATATGGTGTCTATCAATGATTAATGTAACGCGCAGCAAAATGGGACGGAATCTTTTAATCTTTGACTTTCGACATAATCTCCCGCGTGTCTTTACATTTCACGCGCAGTAACGAGTATTACATCATCTCCATTATCTTGCTCGTGAAAATTTGCGTGTTTTCCCAGAAAGTGTTTTTATAAAACACGCTCGGCACGAGCTCACGACTAAATCCAAGCTTTTACAAAATCCAAGATTTAATAAAAATTCAGCGAGAACTGCGGAAAGCTTTACGGAATAATCTGCGCTTCTTCTGCGCGTCAATTTTCAGCTATCGGACCACGTGTCACTTGTAGGAATTCCAATCGGGAAAACAGAGATCATCGGTCATAATCAATTATCCATTATACAGACAGATAAGCGAAGAATGCACGGATTCTCGGGGGGCGGATGACTCACCGGTGAAGGGGGGAAAAAGCGAGGGGAGACGACAGAATTTTGTGCAATTGCGAAAACGGTAAACCCTTATTCTTTCTCTTTCCTTCTTTCTTACGCTCGTCGCGCCCGAGAAGGAAAGCACGCTTTTGCGGTCGCGCGGAGACGAAATCTGGGACGCGAAAGCACGGACGGTCGGAACAGGGCGACGCGAATTCTCGGTTTCCCCCGTTTCTCGAAGGAGAAGGAACGATCCTCGGAGTGTCGATCTCGATGGAGGAGAAAAAAAAGAAAAAAAAAGGGGAGAAAGAGGCGTTGCACGGTTTACGTAATATTCAAGCTCTAGACGAAGGTCGGCGGCACGTCCGTCCGCGGTGAGAAACACTTATCGATTTCACTCGCGGTCTCCCTCTCTCGAGCCCGCTCTCACTCGCTCGTTCGCTCGGTCCTCCTCGCGATTGAAGCGGACTGCCATTCCGCGAAAACCGGAACACCCGAGTGCACCTCGCGTACGGGTCTCTCGCCGCCATCCGCCACCTCGGGGGAAGTCTCGAGAGGCGACGTCTCTCCCCGATACGGCAGATCATCTGCAGCTGCCGCCGTCGCCGTCTCGATCGTCCGCCGCCCGACACGCCGCGAGAACCCCCACATCGCCCGCTCTTTCCTGGCTAGTTTTCCCGATCTCCGATCCCGGTTGACGGTTCATTACCTGGCTCAGCGCATCGTGCGACGCAAACAGGCACGGCCCGCACGGCGTTACACCCCCGTGTCCCGACGGGGTCGTCGAAAAATCCACGCGCGTTGCACTACACTACTGCTTACGCGAACAAGATCTCCACGTAAAATGGCTACCGTACATACCACTGTTGTATCTGCTAACGAGACGCTGCTCGATGTAAAGTCGATTTCTATTGGTTGTCGCTGGATGCATCGCTACTTGCCCACCGCACGGGATATCCAATTATTACGCGCGATACAGGCGAGGATGTCGCTGCGATCACTTGAGAGAACGAGTTATACGAAAATGTATCTACGCTGTGAAGTTCGCCGAGGAACTGAAGCAGCTGCAGCGGCAATTCAGGCCGTACGACGCGATAACGTTATCGGTATCACGTCACGGCGTGTCGAATCTGTGGCGAATCAGCACTTTGCTTTACGTTTAAACAAGAAGTGATTGGTCACCCAATATTGTGCTCCAAGTGCAAATATGTAAAATATTTGACTACCTGAATTCACCGTAGGGATACTAATAAATTATTTATTTTTTTTTTCCTTAGGAAATTCCTTTTTTAGAGATTAGATATGGAGTGTCAATAAATATTCTGAAAAATTTTTAGAAAGTTTTGTTTTTCATAAGATTTTATCTATTTCGAGTTGTACTTGAAAATTTTGATGTCGTATCTTTTTCTAAAATTTTTTATGCACTCTTATATTTTACATATATTGTTCAATGTTATATCCTTGTTTTAAAATTTTTGTATAAAATCTGAAATATTTTTTGGAAATATTTTTACATTGATTTTACAAATAACCGTAACAAATTGAAGAATTTTTATTTTCATATTTTGTCACAAATTTTAAGATAGAAACAATGATGAATAATTTAACTAACTGTTTCATGTTATTTAATAGTAGATAGTAGATAAGATTTGCTTTAATTATTGAAATCCAATATTTAACTATCTACTACATGTTAAAAAAATCTCTAAATTATTTTATTTAAATAAAAAAATTCTTCTCTATTGAATATATCTGAAATTACATAATGCTAATAAATCTTCTTTTTAAGGAAATTTTTTTCTATTAGATATTTTGAATATTTCAGAATATTTCATGGCTTATACTCTTCGAATTTTATTTGAAAGTTTTAATGTTATATTTTTTCGCTAAAATTTTTTATACGTCTTTACATTTCATATACTTCGCTCAATACTACATCCTTTATAAGTTTCCGATGTGACATAAATTCAAGAAGCTCCAGATGTCGAAATGTGACATGGTCCAAATTAATGATCAAAACCAATGGTTAAAAGCTCTGTTTCTATTGCTGCATTGTATTTTAAAATTTTCTCTCTGACTCTCATCAAACTTCAAACATATATATTTTCATTGTAATCTTTTGCAGATCACTTGGAATTTTTCCAACCAAATTATCTGGGTTGTTTATCTGGGTTGGAAACGCAGTTTTTTAAAGGTTTTTTGGTCTTTACCTGAAAAAGATAAAGGTTGTAAAAGAAAGTCTGAAAAAATTTTAGCAAATTTTTCTCTATATCGACATACAGAGATACATCGAGACTAATAGACATTCTAAATATTTCATATATAATATATGTAATGTATGTAATGTATATTACAGAATTTTTGTATACAAAATTTTAAAACGAGGATAATACTGATGTATGTGAGAAATAAAGGTGTATAAAAAGTTTCAAGGAAAAAATATAACATTAAAATTTTTATGATATGTAGTAACTTGTATATTTCGAGTTTTATTTGAAAATTTTAATGCCGTATGTTTTTCTGATAACTTTTTATACGCTTTTATATTCTTCACGTATATCGCTCACTATTACAGCCTTATTTTAAAATTCTATATAAAATCTAAGATATTTTTCAGAAATATTTTTACATTTTGATTTTATGAATAATCATAAATAAATTAAAAAATTTTTATTTTAATAATATTTGCATATTTTATAATATAAGCGATTATATATGATTTATAGAAGATCATATATAATTTAGCTAACTGTTATTTAATGTAGATAAAATTTGTTTTAGCACTTGAAATTTTACGATATTTAACTATTTGAGATCATATACTAAAAACGCTAAAAAATTTCTAAATTATTATATTTATTTAGAAAATTTTTCTCTACACAGAAAAAAATTAGTCTTACAAATTAAGATTATACATTCTCATATATAAATAAGAATATTATAATTTTCTTAGAAAAATTTTAATTTTGATTTGATTGAATTTGTATCGATGCAAATATAGATATTTTCATAAGCGAGAATATTATAATCTTCGTATAGAAGAGTTTTAATCTTGAATCATCGCTTGAATTGAACAAAAATAATATTTTGCAAATATTTAATCAAATCAAGACTAAAATTTTTAAGAAGATTACAATTCTTATTTAATAATATTATATTGCTCAATATGAAAATAATTATCTTGATTCGAGACTAATTTTTTCTATATATTCGATATATCGAGTGTCAATAGATATTTTGAATATTTTAGATAGTTTAATGACACTTATACTCTACTTATCTTGACAAAAAAAAAAAAAACTTTGCCAAGCTTATCACTTAGGTTGCTGATGGCACACATTCAATTTTAACTTGTCGTTTTATGGAACACGACTGACAAACACAGCATTCTTGAACTAAGTCTTTATTATCAATAATTCTTTTTTAGGGAGAAGGATCGATTTCTTTCCCTTTATTGTTTACCGAATAATTCAAAATAAAAAAAGATCACCTGAATCTTCAAATTCTCAAGTGAACCACGGAGAATTAAGATACTAACAGTAGTGGATAATTTAGTTAACTATTTTTTCATTTGATGTCGATAAAACAAGTCTCTGTTTCCGCAGCTAACAGTCGTGAGCATATCGATCACGAAACCGTCAACGTGACGTGTCCGTTCGTGTCTCCGTCGTACGGATGATTTGATCAGGTTTGACAGCTCGGAGGATGTGCGAAAGGGCTGTGCCAAAAGGACCGTTGACAGATTTCTGAGAATTTCGACGTTCGCGCAGCCCTACATGCGACAGCGTCCGGATATCGCAGCAGTGTTCACGAGCCACGTAACCTGACTGAGCCCCGGTTTCTCGGCCGGGTACACACGAGTGTATTGGGTAGCGAGTGAGGTTAGGTTTATCGTCCAGACGCGTCACCAGGATGACCAGTCTACGCGATCGTCAGATAAACGCCCTGAAGCAGATGCTGAATCTGAATCAGCCCGAGCTTCGGCCCGAGGGCGCTGTGCCTACGTGGAAGATTCTCGTCTACGATCGCCTCGGCCAGGACATCATATCACCGCTGATCTCCGTCAAGGAGCTGCGCGAGCTCGGCATCACGCTGCACATGCAGCTGCACTCGGATCGCGACTCCATCCCGGAGGTGCCGGCGATCTACTTCTGCGCGCCCACGGACGAGAACCTCGGCAGGATCGGCCAGGATCTGCAGAACGGTCTGTACGACATTTATCACTTGAACTTCATCTCGCCGATCACCCGGCAGAGGATGGAGGACCTGGCGGCCGCGGCGCTGCTGGGCGGCGTCGTCGCCAGTATCCACAAGGTGTTCGATCAGTATCTGAACTTCATCACTCTGGAAGATGATCTTTTTATCTTGCGTCATCAGAACAGCGACGTGATATCCTATCACGCGATTAATCGCGGCGACGTCAAGGACAGCGAAATGGAGTCCGTGATGGACATTATCGTAGACTGCTTGTTCTCAGTGTTTGTCACTCTAGGTACGGTGCCAATTATCAGATGTCCCAGAGGCAACGCTGCTGAGATGGTCGCCAAGATGATCGACAAGAAGCTACGAGAAAACGTGTGGGATGCGAGGAATAATCTATTCGAGGGTGAGGCGACCGGTCACTTCAGCTTCCAGAGGCCTCTGCTCATCGTGCTGGACCGCAACGTCGACATGGCTACACCGCTACATCACACGTGGACGTATCAAGCGTTGGCGCACGATGTCTTGGAGATGGCATTGAACAGACTCGTCGTGGAGGAGAGCGTAGGACGATCTCCCGCTGGTGGGACACGCTCCAAGACGCGCGCTTACGAGCTGGACAACAAAGATCGCTTCTGGTGTCAGCATAAGGGCAGCCCATTCCCCAGAGTGGCAGAAGCTATACAGGAAGAGCTGGAGCAGTATCGTACCTTCGAGGAAGACGTGAAGAAACTCAAGTCCTCCATGGGCATCGACAATGACAGCGAAGTGGCGTTGTCCATGGTGTCCAACAACACAGCGCGTCTGACGAGTGCCGTCAATTCTCTGCCGCAGCTTTTGGAGATGAAGCGACTGATCGACATGCACACGTCGATAGCGACCGGTATCCTGAACGCCATCAAATCTAGACGGCTCGATACTTTTTTTGAGCTGGAGGAGAAGATCATGAGTAAGCAAACGCTCGACCGCAGCGTGCTGGAGACCATCGGCGACCCGGACTGCGGCACGCCCGAGGACAAGCTGCGTCTCGCCATTATTTATTACATCTGCACGAATATGTCGGACGCGGATTACGGTAAACTGGAGACAGCCCTGACCACCGCCGGTTGCGATCTGAGCCCGCTGCTCTACTTGAAACGATTGCGCAGTTACACCAGGATAGCCGAGATCCAGAGCAGCTACGAGGGCGGCGGTACCAAGACGGTCAGTATGTTCTCCAAGCTGATGAATCAGGGCTCGTCGTTCGTCATGGAGGGCGTGAAGAATCTGGTGGTGAAAAAGCACAATCTACCGGTCACCAAGATAGTCGACGAGCTGATGGAGTCCAAGCAGTCGTCGCGTACCGACGATTATCTCTATCTCGACCCGAAGCAGCTCAAGCACACCGAGCAGATGCCGAAGAATCGGCCGACGTTCCAGGACGTGATAGTCTTCGTGGTGGGCGGCGGCAATTACATAGAGTACCAGAACCTCGTGGACTACGTGAAGCAACGAAGCGGAGCTGGGGTGAACAAACGGGTGATATACGGCTCCACGACCTTCATCAATGCCAAGCAATTGCTCAAACAGCTTTCTCTGCTCGGCCAGGAAGTTCACTCGTGAACGGATATCCTTATCATCATCTATTGTATTGCTCCCTTCTCCTCCTCTCATCTCTCTCTCTCTCTCTCTCTCTCTCTCTCTCTCTCTCTCTCTCTCTCATTTACGCGACGTCTAATAGCCACATTTTTTTTTTTTAAATAGATCGTTTCTTAGCTCTTGTATAAAGTGTACGATATAAATAAAAAGCGGTACGTTATTTTCAACAACGCCTCTCATGCGTTCGACTTTCCCTCCCTCGACACTACGCGCCTGCCACGTGTTCCTCGTCTCTTTCTCGCGTTCATGTGTGCGCGACTGCATTCAATTTGTTTGATCGATCACTCGTGTACGGCAGACACACGTATCTCTTACCTCGACATTTTTTTAAAGCGTACGTTGGTTGAAAATTATAGGTTAGCAAAAAAAAAAATCTGAATTAAAAAAGAAATGGCCAGAGCGTGTCAAGACAGGTCGAAAGATCTCGTGCTGAGAGCTGTCATCCCGACCGATTCGCAGAAAGCGGTTTCGGAGTACTTTGTATCCAAGCAAGAGGAGCGTCAGTACATCAAGTAACGCAGTTAGAAAATAATTGTAAATGTTGTAATAAATTGTTTTTAATTTTTAAAGAGTTGTCATGTATCAATAAACAGAAGATACGTAAAGAATGTAAAAATAAAGAAATGTGCAAAATGGACGATCTATTGTAACACGCAACAATCGATAAAAATACGAAGTGGACGATACGATATTAGAATTATGAAAATTTACGTTTATTTTATTAATAATAGAAAAAGTTATATTTTTAATAAACTTTAAAATAAAAATCTAAATATTTTTGTTGTTTATTATACTTGTAAATTATACTTTCGTCATTGTGTTTGTATTGTATTAGAAAATATCCGGAATGGGACAAAGGGAGGGTTTGCCCGGAGACCGAAGTAATCAGGGCTCGTCAGGAATTGGCTCAAGTCGAGGAAAAGTTGAAGGAGAAACAAGCGGAACAGGAGATAAAACGTAAATACATGGACGAGCAATGGGAGGAGGCGAGAAAGCAACAATTGCAATTGCGGCAGTCTTTCATAAAGTTTAATACGCTCGTGAAAGAGAACGTCGAGAAGCGCGAGCGAGCCGAGCAGAAGATAAATGAGGAGCACAAACGACAAGAGAAATACAAGCGAGAAGTATGGAAGGGAACTCGATAAAGAAAATAAATGCACGAAACTCTGCAACCGGAATTCGCGATCATAATTTTAATTATTTAGAGAGAACGAAAAAAGATATCGTACTTCGATAATAATTGATATTTTCCATTTTATTAGATCGAGGAACTGGAGCAGAAACTAAAATATATGAAAGATGTGTGTGAGAAAATGGAACGATACGTAAAGGAATACAAGAAATATCAAAATTACTTGGACAGAGTCGTAAACGAGACGGACGAGTTTCAGTCGATTAACGAAATTTTTAATCGCTACGAAACATTAGTCGAGGCCAGGCAAGCGTTGTCCGATCGTCAAGACAGAAACCTTCAGATGCTAGAAGACAAAGGAGCAGAAATAGTACATTCGAATTATCTTCTATTTTACATCTCACATCTCATATCTCACAAATCTCACAAATTCTACGAATTCACATAATTCTTTCTTTGCATTATTAATTTAATTACCTTAATTAAATATTGTGATTATGTGACGAATTGACCTGATTCTATCAAGACTACGTATTTTATCGATTTTTATTTTCCGCAAATAATTCAAAACATATTACCACATAAACTTTTTATACCTTTCTGTTTCTTATTTTATCACGTATTGTTTTGTACAATTTTCAATTACCGAGTTCTTTTCATAAGTATCTTTAACAAGGTTAATATCTATTACTTTTTAAATGTTTGAGTTCAAATTTTAATAGAAAATCAATCAAAGAGATAATTTTCTTTCACTGCAGCATAATTTTCATAAATATTTCTTACAAGTTTAATGTCCATTATTTTTTAAATGTCTCCAAATTTTAATAGAAAATAAATCAAAGATTTGAGTTACAGAGATAATTTTTTTTCACCGCAGCATCATTTGTCGGAGGTTGAAACGCAAGTATTGATGGGATTGAGTAATAAACTGGCGCAATTACAAACTCGGTACGATCAGGCGAAAGCGCAGGCATTGAAATGGGAGACAATCGTCTCGAAGATAAAGGAGACCGCCGCCGCGAAGAACTTGGAACTTACGCAAGTGAAGGCGTGCTGCTGGAATATCTATCAGCAGATTTGCAAGAGGAAAGAGATACCTGTCAAGGTGAGCAGTGAGGATGTCGAACAGCAGTTGATTCAAATCAAACGTACCATCCTTGAATTGAAGCGAATTATCAAGACTGTCAAGAAGAGGATGCGGGAAGAGAAAGGCTTGTCATATCGCGAATAGAAGTATCTATCATCCCATTATCGCGACCGATCGCGATTCTACAGTATATAAAATCAATGAATCAATGATGACAAATGAATAAATCAATTCGCTCCGAAAAATTCCAGTTTACATCATTTTATAAAAAAATATACGACAAAATTTCTACGAATTTAATATATATATATATATATATATATCTACTAATTAGAACTTAAATAAAATAATTAACTTTTACTAACTAATTAAATAAAAAGAACGACTAACGTACGTAAAAGTTAGGTAATTAAATTAAATTATTAATTTTTTTTGTTGTTCGTCTTTATTTTTTTTTTGTTTGCTCGTCGGCTGAATCTTCTTGAGCTTTGCGCGAATGTCATTATGACGTCATTAGCAAAAGGTCACGCTGCAAATCCACGAAGAAAATGTGCCGTCGTTAATTCTCTTTATTGATAGCGTCGTTGAATAATCTTCCTAGCTGCTGGTAAATGGCAGGCGGACACGTTGTGAAGCAGCTCCGTATAATCCTCCATGAGTCTTTGTTGCAGCTTCTGCGTGGCTTCGGCACGTGTCAGCGGTATCTCCAAACGCTCCAAGACGACCTGCATCTGCTCTTGTTCTACGCAGCTGCATTCGAGGGTGTAAAAATAATCAGAGGAAGTTGACAAGTAACCCGGATATCCTCGACGCATGTTTAGCGCCGAATGTAGGATGGTTATTAAAATATTATTGATTTTATTTTACTTTCACTACAATTTATTTAAATATCATATCTATTATTACTTTCTTATTTTTTAATCCTCCAACTCGATAGAAAAAGAGGTGAGCTATTTTAAGTATCAAATTAGGCTGTCACGTTCGAGGTTAAATGTCTGAAACATCAGGAAATCTCGAGGATACCCGTCAGGATAAACCGGAAGGATTCGAGTTCAAGAGTGACAGGGAAGGAAACGTGGAAGGGTAGTAAAACAGGACTCACAGAATACAGGGTTGAGTGGGTACGATGCGATTTAGGACGGGCACTTTTAACCTGGGCTTCTTTTCCTCGTCCAGCCGCAGCTGCGGAAGTTTGCTTTCCTTGTCTATCCAATAAACCTTGTGGAACATCTCGGTGATTTGTTTCTCGATAATACCCAAATAGAGCATGACGTTGCTCATGGTAACGTGAGTGTTATCGCCTAGCAATTCTAAAATCGGTGAGTTGTCGCAGCGTATCGCCTTGAAAAGGCTATCGATCCCCCGCAACAGCTTGTCCATCACGTCGTGGCACTGAAATGAGTAATCATTCATTGTACATTCCGGCTGTGATTTGTCGAGTCGCTACGCGGATATCGAAATCATAAATCTATTTTATTATTAAGATCAAGGATACTCGAGAATAGCGAAATAATCCTTGAAAGATGTGGTATTAATTGGCTAATAAAATTTTTAAATTTGATTATATATAACATCTTGTCGATTATCAATAATAACGTTTTGCGTTCTAAATATTATATATATATATTTATATTTATAATTTATTTATATATATATTATTAAAAATATTTTATATAATATTTATTTCAGATTTTTAAAAGATAATTTTAGCGCCAAGTTTTCACTAGAAAGTTTCAAATAATTATCTCATTAACCTGTGCAAGATCTTCCTCTGCAGCATCCGCTAGCGCGGTTTGCTCCTCGAGGTCCTTGGTGATCTTCTCCAAGGTCTCAGCCTGCTGCTGGTCGCGGTGCACATTCAAAGCATGTGCTTCATCAATAGCCGCTGTCAGCTGCTCCATCCTCGCCTGAAGACTCTCCAACTCGTCGTTCAGCTCGTTCACGTAATTGAAGAGCGCGAAATTCTCCTCCTCTTGCTTGATGAAGTGCGCGGTGAGCTTGTCGATTTCTTGCTCGCCTGTTCAACAATATTCATTTATTTATTTATTTATGGTCACATTAATCGAAGCTGGAGTTTCACACCAATAAACTAACTATCGAATATAAAATTGAAGTAAATATTGAACTAAAATACATTGAAATCTTCATTTATAGAAAATTAGAACAAACTTAATTCCGTGAGGAAATCCGAGAATGCTTTACAAAGAGAGAACTGCTCATGCAAACCAGAACATCCGATTATTCTAAATAAAAGCCTGTTTTTATGATTATACCAGTGAATTGTCTGATGGTTTGCAAGATTTGCGTGAAAGCCGCGATCTTGTTCTGCTTCTCCTCCCGTTTAGCCTGTCTCTCGGCTTCCTTTTTCGCATTTAAATCAACCATTTCACGAAACTGTCCCTTCACACCGAGGAACTCCTGCAGCTTCATTTCATTGTCCAGAGTCCTTTTCAGCTCGCACATCTCCGATGTGTGGTTCTTCAAGTCCCTTATCCCCCTGCAAATACACGCCTCCTTGTCAGTTCATGGTCCAGCTGATCGGAATTTTCCTCTTTGCCGGCAGAAAATTATGCAAATTCGCACCGCGACCGAATAAATCGAGGAGCCGTTACGGAATCAGACGGAGAGCGGCGGAAATTCTACGCGCCATTGGCTCCGCAGCCGATCGTTGCTCTCCGAGTTTCTAATTCAAAGTCGACAACAACGACGACGACATCGAACGTTCATTTCAGAATTGCGAGTGGATCTCGCATAGTTAGCAAAACAAGCATCCAGATTACGGGGGACAACGATTTGGCGGAGGAGATTTCCACTTTCGCGATTCCGCAAGACATGATCGTTGATCATCGGCAACAATGTCGCGCAAATCGCCGGCGTCTCGTCGTGTTTCAGATCGCGTTTCACGGCACCGATCCACCGACCGTGGAAAATCCACGATCCATCGCGTCTCACCTCTCGCGAAGCGCCTGAATCTTGTTGAGCTCCTCGTCCCGCTGATTGAACGTGACCGTCGCCTGCTCGATCAGGTCGTTGATGACCTGCTTGCCGGTGTTGAGCTGGCCGACCAGCTTGTTCCACATGTGCGTGAACTGCCTCCGTTCCTTCAGCAGGGTCTCGATCTCGGCGCGCAGCTTCGCGTTCTCCGCGATCACCAGGTTGAACCTCTTCGTGGCCACCTCCACCCGGTTCTCCAGCATGAGCACCGTCCTGGTGTGCCGTGCCGCTATCTCCCGCGACTGCACGTCGGTCCGCATTTTCATCTTCATGCTCGTGACATCCTTCGAAAGCTGCAACAACATTCCTATGTGTCATAAACGTGACGTCGCGGATGAAAGTGACTCGTCTCATCTGCGTACGTCTCGAGAGACGATTCGATCTCCATCATCTATGGACAAATCGCGACGCTTTCGTTCGTTATCAATTATCGCGGCCGCGATATCGCGAAGCGCCGATTTCGTGGTCTCGCACGACCGGGCACTTCGTCCCATTTTCTCGTTACATTTACCAATAGGTATTTCGACTAATCGGATTTTTTTAATATCGATCAAATTATTCGCGCATTTGCTCCACATAGATCTACTGTCATAGACTCGACATTGGCAATACCATCAACCTTGCCGATCTGCTCGTCGAGCTCGGCTATCTGCTGCTTCTCGTTCTCTATCAGCTCGATGTACTTGGCGCGCTTCGTCAGCAGGCACTTCAGCTTCCTGTCCATCTCCATGTCCTTACGCACGAACGTCTTCGACCTCGCGGTCTTGATCGCCAGCACGAGTTCGGCTTTCTCGTATTCCAGACGATCAATCATGTTTTGCTGATTGCGAAGCTGCAGCCTCGCGTCCTCCGCGCACGCCGCCCGGTCGTTCTCCATTATTCTGTACTGCCTCTTTAACCTCGAAAGCTCGATCTCCGCCATCGTCTCCATCTCCAGCTCGTCCTGGACCGGTTGCTGTTTGTACGCCATCTCGGAGTTTCTTCTTTGACAATTTTATCCCTCGACGACTCTAGGGTTTATTAATAATTATTTGTAAGAATCATTTTCATAAAGAACATCTTGAGGGTTGTTTGGAGTACCTACTTTTTCTTCACGACAGATTCATAGGAGATGGATGGAAGAGAGGGAAAAAGTCCAGTTTCCCGGAAGACGTCGGCGTCTTCGCGATCGGCGACGTCGGTCACGAAGATCCATGCAGGGGCGGGTCGCACTCCGGTCACGATCCCCAATGACATTGGACGCTGACATTTGAGAAAGACATCTGCCACCCCGCGCAGCCGAGGCAGCTGTAAGGCATGCTATAGTCGCTTCTGTTGCTACTTCCGGTTGCTAAGCAATGGGCTCAGCGACGTAACGTTCGCGAAATACGTTTTGGACGGAAATTAATTTCCCACAGGCAAAACGTCTCATACTTTTGACATTTCCTACCCACAACATATCACAAAACGCTCCCCTGAACATTGACAATTGCAAATTCTTTGGCAAATTAGGAACTGAAGTAAAAAAATTATAAAGTAATTAAATTATCTGTTATTAAAATTTACTTAAGTTATTATAATATATATTAGAAAATTATTGACATATTTTTAAATATTCTTTTAAATCTTCATATTAAATCAACTTATCGACAAAACGTTCATTTCACATTTCTAAATTTATTATTCGATGTGAATTAATTTTAAATTGCACGTAATCAAAATTTTCTGTTATTAAAATTTAGCTAAATTATTATAATATATCAAAAAATCAATGTGTGTTTTTATAGATCCGCAAGATTTTTGTGTTAAGCCAGATTTTTGATACGTCATATCATTTCTATGATTTATTATTTGATGTAATTAAATTTTAAATCTTAAAAAAGATTTTAACAATCAAGTTTGATTATATTTTGTGACAGTAGCGACACGCAACACGACACGATAATCGAAAACGTACCTTTAACTTGCTCCATTTAATACGCGCTTATTGATCGCAGGTAGCTGTATGATGCGTTTTCCTTTGTAAATAAGAACAAGTATAAACTAATAAGGCATGCGAAATCGATCTGACCTTCCCCATTAGTGCTAATTATTTCCTGCAAATATATTACAATCGTATAAAAAGTTCGCATGAACAGAAACAATGCAGACTTCTATATTCTATAGAAATTAAGAAACGTCGGATATTAAATTGCGTTGCTCGATGATGCGGAACCCACAAGATCGTTATATATCGACTAGGTCTCAAAAACATTCCCCCTACATTTCTGGCATCTTCCCGTCTCTTCAGAAAGTTGACGTTCCCCGTGTTGTTTCCAAGTGCTCGTTAGGCAGCGGAAAAATAATTGACAAATCGATCTACGGACTCGCGGATCCTCTCTCGCTTCGTTGAGAACCATGGACGAGGAACAAGCGTCGTGCTGGGTGCTACCCGTGGATATTCGGTGGGATTCAGTCAGGTGGTGGTTCGACCAGGTGGGTCAAGTGGTGGGGATACACGTTCGAGGATGCAGACGGGGGAGACGTTAGTTCACCTCCGGAGGGGAAGGTCGTCAGGTCGATTGGTTCTGCTTGCCGCGCGGGTAACGAACGCACGGGACCTCTCTCAGATTCCGACGATCATTGTGCAGTGCCTCTCGTAGGTAGCTCCATTCTGTTACGATCGTGAAAGATCGCGCGCGAGGAATTCGCCGCGTGGAAATTCGCCCTCGCCATTTCACGAATACCAATGGAGCGATTTCGACGGTCGCTCGGATACCGTTTCGATCGATACCGAAACGATAATTGTCGGAGAGCGCGCGGTGTGGACGAGGATGTAATTGTTTGACTCGGGAATTGCGATAAAATCACGAGTGACATCGCGAAAGTCGCAATCTACTGTGTGTCGCAATTCTGACTGAACCGGAGTTGCATTGGAAGGGTGGATCGCTTGGACTCGCTGTGATAGTAACTATTTTCGTATCTACTCGGGAGGATTTTTTAATATCTATTCAATCTCTCGATTGGTCTTGGTGTCTATTCGCTAAAATAATTAGAATTATCTTGTTTAATCCAACGAGAATAATTTGAATGAAGTTTTAATAATTAATTTATGTCTTTTTTTATGTTTTTATGTATGTTTGATTAGGAGGATGGATTATTTGGACTCACTAAAATAGTAATTATTTTTTTCCAGAAAAAAAAATATACTTAATTTCGCTCTATTTAATTCTCCATTGGATTTGATGTTAATATTATTTGGATACAGGAACTAGTTTAATCTAATAAGATAATTTGATAAATGAGTTCCAATAATTAATTTATTTCCTTTTTTATGTTTTTGTAATTTTTATTAAAAGGATGGATTGGAACTTAACTGAATAATTATTTTTATATCTATTCAGAAAAAAATCTTGTTTTATTTAATTCTCAATCAAACTTGACGGCAATGATCAGAAATTTATTTAATCCAACAGGATAATTTTTAAATGATTATTTATAATTATTTCCCTTTTTTATATTTTTGCATTTTTTATTAGGAAAATGCATCATATGAACTTATTAGTAATTATTTTTATATCTATTGAAAAAAATCTATTAAATAAATATTGAAAAAACCTCGCTTTATTTATTTAACTCTCGGCAAAATTTAATGTTATTCGCAGAAATTATCAGGAACTTTAATTAATAACGGAATAATAATCGATAGACAAATTTTAATTTATTTCCCTTCTCCCTTGACGATTTTTTATTTTTTATTAGCTTACTCGCGCTTTTCACATTTTATTTCGTTCTACAGTGAGGAAGTAAAATACAAATTATTGTCGCAAATTCGTTCGTGTTTACGCGAGTCGACACAAAGAAGCGGCCGAGCGGAGAGCGGGTGCGTCGAGCCGAACGAATTACTTTCAACCGCGCGGCAATATGGTGGGAGAGCCGCGCTGGTCGATCTCGTGGAGCACGCTGCACGATTCCGTAATATTTATTTTCCACTCACGGCTAGTGACTCACTACCTGGCCGACTGCGCCACGGCGAACAGGTAGACGTTCGCGTTCGTGCTCGTGTGCGAGATTCGTGACCGCTCTCCCACATCCTCACGCGCGTGCCTCGCAGTGAAGAGAGGTGAACGAGATGTGTGTGTGTGTGTGTGTGTGTGTGTGTGTGTTTTATGTATGTAGGTGTGTGTCGTGAATAATGCGAACTTTTTTTTTAATTTTCAAGAAAGAGACCATAAATATTTATCGCGTCATAAATATTTATTGGGGCTGCACGGAACGAGACGCCGCAAAATATTTATTCAAAGTAGGAGGAAAGGGCGCGTGAACGTGTGTCTCAGACGCCATTCTTTGGCAATAAACGTTGGAATTAAATAAATTGGCAAAAAACAAACGGAGACGCGCCTGGTTGATGGGAAACCGTCGGAGGTTGGTCGCGAGGGAAATGTGATAGCGGGATGTTTCCTTTCGTGGTCGCCGATCGAATTAACACAATCAAGCGTGGGACGAGGGACGGTTTAGATCCACATCCCCCTTATTGGATTTATCCTCGAGGGTTGAGAGCGCTACGTTAAGCCGACGTACGAATCGATAAACGTGAACTGTCGCACGTGCCGTCCGTGACCGTCGGTCACCGTCACATTTTATCGCCGCTCAAGGATAATGCGACGCAATTGCGACTCTATCGCTCTATCGCGAATCCAGCTTCGTAAGCGCAGAAACGCGAGACATCTCCTCCCACGCGCGGAATCGATTCGCGCGGAACCGATTTTCGAGCGTCCGCGTGCAAAATCGGTGCTCGCACTCGATTAAATCCGTCCATGCGCGGCTCGGCCTGCCTCTCTTCTTTCAGCGAGATGAAATCGCGCGTTGAACGACCGGGAGTCGAGCTGATCTCGCGTAACTCGTGGCAAGATCCGTTCTGAAACATTAATTTAATTCTCACGTCGAGAATTTATTCGAAGTGAATTTTTAATCGCTCACGAAAAGATAATTCTTCGCTGGCGGTTCATTCGAGTCGAGCTGATCTCCCGTAACTCGTGGAAAGTTCACTCTGTTCTGTTCACAAAAAATTTAATTTTTACATCGAGAATTTATGAATTTTTAATCGCTCACGAAAAGATAATTTTTCGCTGGCGACTGACTCATTGTAATCATGATAAAATATAAAAATAATGCCTTATGTCACGTATGTTTAACGAGTCATTTGTCATGGAAATGTCAGTGTCGCTCTTGAAATGCTAATGTTCTGAATGTGTGACTTCGTAATCGAAATCGATACGCGTGCGTTTTCTAGACAAATACAAAAAAATAGTTTATAAACAAATATTTTTTAAAATTATTTTGAACAGATGCTTCTATATCTATCTTATATATTTTTGAATGTGAAAACAGTGCTGCAAACCAAATTTTTATAAAAATAGCTTTTTTACGATATTTGAAGATTTTTTTTATAAAGAAAGTTAAGAATCTTAAAATTCTGATCAAAAATTATGAATATATTCATCCCTTGTAAAATACATAAAAAATTCATTTTTTACATATTAAATCTCAATTATTTTGGAAATCTGACGCGCTGGAAAAATTTGGCGTGTGGCATTATTCTCAGCACCCAAAAATCTGTAAGAAGCACTTTGTTTGATTTAATATAATTTTTTCCCATAAACTAGTATAATTTATAGCGACTAAAATCAAACTTTTTAATTTTTCTTACAGAAATCGAACGCTCGTTGCGAAATGATCCCGCGAATGAGACGCGCACCAAGAGCCTTTCATAATCTACAGTTCCAACGTGGAAGATTTCTGCTTTGTTACTGTGACGTAAACAGTGCGACGATCTGAAGAATCGATCCTCTTCGTGGTCCTTTCTACGGTGGAATTAAAGCGAATTTATTTAAATGGAGAACTACGGAATATCACTGTGTCATAATTCACGCGATTCGTTTCCGACCTGACAGCGCGGTGCTCGCCAAGGATCATCCATCACTCTCGCGATTAAACTCGCGTGAATTCGTAGCCGGATGTGTTCAAACGAGTTGTGAACAAACGAACAAACGAACGAACGAACGAACGAACGAACGAACGAGTACCTAGTGCTGTGGTGTCGCAATTCGACGGACTTTCCATTCGAGTGGCCTTGCTGCAAACGAGGAACGATCAAGAAATCGCGGGACGATCCGCAACGATTCTAGCGTCCGATAAATGTCTCCTTCTAGGGAGATGTGTGACATCGAGTTGCAGTGCGAGGGACAGAGAGAGACGTAGGAAATCGTGATAACCAGTCGATCGATAGCGCGGCGAACTTCCGCGATCGATATCCCGGGGAAGAAGCGCATCGGTGCGTTGCACTCGCGCAATGAGAACATTGTCATCGTCGTCGTCGTCGTCGTTGTCGTCGTCGTCGTCGTCGTCGTCGTCGTCGCCGATAATGATGACGTTGCTAATAGTGACGAAGCAGCCGACCCGTCCACGTCTGTTTTGCGATCGCGAGTGCAATGTCAGGGCGACCGATCGCTTCCGGTAGCCGCGCGCTGACACGCGCGATCCTCGAGTCAGGAAACCCGAGGGGAAAGACCGTCGGCGTGGTGATTACGCGATTCGCGAGAGAGGTGAGTGCGTTTACGCGTCATTCATGCGTCTCTTGGATCGCGTGCATCCTCGTCGTTGCGAGACTTTCAAGGCCCGGCGGCTTTTGGGTCGCGCGCGGTCCTCGAGCGAAACAGGTTGTAAAGTCTTTCGAGACGCGCAGGCTGATGCCTCCCAAGGTTCCTTCCTCGAATAACGTGGAGCGAATCTTAAAAAGGGAAGAATTTTACAAATTACATATTAGCAATTAATTAATAAATCCCACAGAGTGGCTGTATCAATTGTTTTCGATCGAATAAGTATGTTACGTTACTTATTTCGTGGGAGATATTAGTTAGTTGTGAAATTATAAATTTTACTCGTGTTAAAGTTATCAAAAATGAGTCATAATACAAATAAATTTCTTTTCTTAGGTTATATTAGGAATATTAGAAAATAAAAAGAGTTATTATCGCTCGCAAATATTTGCTCAAGTATGTTTCTTCACGTTTTCTAATGATAAAGATTTGAAAAAAGAGATTGTTTTATCTGAAATCAAAAGCCAACCAAAACAGGTAAATACTGTTGATGATTCATTATGAAATTCTTGATTGGAAAATATAATTGCATGTAGAAAATAAAGAAGATTGTAATGTTGCTGCGAATGAAGAAATATTTATAAGAAATGTAGATAAGATTTATTTATGGTCGGATAAATAAGCTTTTATAAAGATTTTTATGATCCCTTGATTGCGGTGGAAAATTATTTTATTGTTTTACTTTAACGGATACGATAAATGTACATATTTTATTTCTACGTTTTCTTATCATTAATACGATAATCTTCTTACCTGATAGAATTTGTGTCGTCGACACAATGCTTCAATTAAAATCTACATCCAATAAAGTATAAAAAGATAACAAATTTGTAATAATTTATAAACAGATCAAAAGCGAAAGTATAAACACATGTTCAATATACTAAACGTACAATGTTGTAACAAATACATAATATGCACAGATATATTTAATTTTCTTAATATTCTATCGTAATTTTATTTTAAACATTTTTCTTTAATTTTTCTTTTGTTTTTTTTTATTTTTTTCAATTTTTTTAACTTTTTAAATTGAATTCGCTTTTTCGATTCGGTTTTGCTTCGTCCTCGTTCGTCAAACGTAATAAGAGTGAAAATTCGGAATTAATTGATTTCAGCTAATCAATGACGCTTGATAATTCGACGCTGCCCACAGTTCGATCGTTCGACGTTCGCGAGGGAAAGCTGATGGTGACGACGTCACTAGCGTTATCACACCGTATCCACGTTGAATAGCCTGACGTGTTGCCCAAGTGTTTACCTGACGCGGTTTCCTTCTCCTTCGTCGTCGCATATCGATCGGAAACCGCGAGTTCGTTCCGCGAATCGGTGCAGAAGTGACGTTTCGCCGTGCGTTTGTGCCGTGGAGGGAACGCCTATAATTCGCGATGTTACCGAAGAAGGACAGCCAGACGGAGCCATACGCTCTCGAAGACATGATATCGGATCTCCAAGCGAGGAGGCACTCGCTGGACCACGAGGACGTCGTGCAGGACCCCGCCGAGTTGCTGAAGCAACGCGAGAGAGACCTCGTCCTGGCTGCCGAGCTCGGCAAGGCTCTGCTCGAAAGGAATCAAGAGCTCACGAAGCAGGCCGAGACCTTAGCCGAGGAATACTCCGTCAAATTAGAAGTGAGTGAACACATATTGTTTAAACAAATTCTTGTTCGCTCGGTAAGCAAGATTGTTGCTCGTCCTGTTTGTTTCACAATTAATTATTCGAGAAAAAAATAATCTACCTTTAAAATTAAATATAGAAAATTATTATTCTATTTTCAATCTATTTATCAATATTAACGAACAGATATGAAGATGATAATAAAAATCACTCGCTTATGTATTTATGAAATGCACGAATTGCTAGGCGGAGGGAAGATTCATGAAAAAATAATTTAAGCGTTTCTCTTGGGAGTAATAAAATATACTACACGAGGCTAATTTATCGTCCGCTACATAACAGTCGAGAGATAATCTGCTTATGTAATCTTTTACTCGGCGTTTATTAGATAAAAATATAATTAGAGGCGGAGTGCACCGCGCGAGTTGCCGATTTAACGAGGTGAATTTTACTTTCGACACGCCTGCGGCGTGCGTTACACCTCGTACATTACACCTGTGGAGCGGATGGGGGAACTATATTTTTAATGAAAAAAAAAAAGAAAAAAGAATTTCGTCGCGCGAGTCTGCTCTGTTTCGCATGTACATAATGCAATTGCAACGTGTGCAACATTGCAGCTTTTACGCGTTGCAATCGTGCAACCCGTGCTCCACTTTCGCGAGCGCTAATCCTCCTTCCTTCGATTTTATATCTTATTACGGCCGCTAGCCGTTTTATTACGAAACGGACGAAGAAACATAAAGTGACTCACTGACCGCATAAATATCAGCCGGCTCTTCGCGAGTTCGCCCGTGGGCGACGATGATTACGGATGCGAATCATGTCTGACATTACCGAACTCTTATCGCCGCAACACGCCTTATCTGATCGATAAGGCGCCGGAGATAAGACGCGTCTTTACAGACAACGGTTGATATTTCTATTTACTCAAAATGTAGTCTCTTGTTATATATCGGTGTTTTTCCTCTGGGAGATCTTTTAACACAAGGAATGTTGCACGTATCATTTTATAAGTGCATTTTGCTATCGGATTTTGCGATCGCAACGAGGACGCCAACCGTGTCGTTTAATGCGCCATTGAACGCGACGGAAACGAATCGACTGCGAATTATCGCGAATTACAAGGCGCGAGTGTTGCCGAGGCAAAATACAGATCCGTAAATACACTCGCACGAAGGTTCCCGGCGTTTACCTTCTTAACGATACAGCCGCGACGACTTGGGGAATCGTCGGCGGCGGCGGCGGCGGCGGCGGCGGTGGCGGCGGACAATCGGTGGGACGAGGGACATTTCTAATGCCAGCCGGTCGGAAATTTTCACCTTCGTGTTTAACGGACACAATCGCTTTCCAACATTATGCCGCCGTGACCGGCCGCGGAAAATTTGCTGGCGCGAGCACGCGGCGCGCCGATTACATAAAGGACGATAAATAACGCGGAACTCGGTGCCGGAAAGATCGAAAATGCATGCTGCGCGCCTTGTCACGTGTGCGCACACTCGACGAACGGACGTGCGATAAGATCAGCGAAGAAGCCGAGTGAATTTTTCGAAAACCAGCGGCTCGGAAAGACCCCGCGTAACGACTGTCAATCCGAACGGGAAAGAAAAAATTGCTACGAAAAAAAGTGGCCTCCACACCGAAAAGTGTTAATAAAACTGAAGTATTTTATACGCGCTCTGTCCGCACTGATCTACGATTCGGTCTAAATCCTAAATTAATTAGTCTAATTAATTGTTTAGAAATTGCCCGATTTGAAACGTCCTGGCCAACGTGTCTTGCCGTAAACGCGCTCCTTTTCCCAATGTGCCGCCGCGCGTCGCTTAGAATAAACTAAATTTCTCTCTCATTTTATGTAATTGGCTTTATTTTACGATTGTTTGCATGTGATTACCTTAAATGTTTCGTTTCCTCTTTCCTTTATGCCTTTTCGAGAGACGCGGCATTCGTGAGCCGCCGAGACGGCCAAGCGAGACGGTTAGGGTTATTCGCGTTCGCCTCAAATACCAGGCTGTTCATTTACCACCGAGCATTATTATCATGTTGCACGCGTATGTGTGTGTGTGTGTGTGTGTGTGCTTTCTTGCGACGGCTCGTACTCTCCTACGCAAACAGCGAATCGCGAGGAAAGAAGGGAGAAAGGAAAGGAAACATGCGAACGAAAGTCACCGATAGAAACATACGTTTCTCCGCGGATTTCGCCACGGAATCGGGCCACGAGGTAGTCTGAATTTCAAGTGTGCTCCTTTTTTTTATGACGACGATTCGTAGGCACGGTCGGATTTGTCTACCGGACCTGTAAACCGCGTTTCTACGACTTGCAACGAACGAGAGGCACGTAACGTGGAATTTTGGAAGCCAAGAAACGAGAAGCGTTTGGATCTTCGTCGCGTTTCGAGCGCGATTCTATTTTTTTTCTTTCTCATCACGCTTCTCTCGTATAGATATCGACAAAATTAGCGTGGATTTGCGGCAACTAACGCGGTTCACCTAATGCCGCACTTTACTCCTTTGTCCGCGTCGCGAACGAATTGAATCTCGCGCATCTCGGAACGTCGAGTCGCCGCGCGCCAGGTCGGGGTGTTATTTAATTCAAGACGCAATCGTATCTTAATAATAGTAAACGTTCGCGCAGTTGGGCCCCGCGGCGTTTCGTAGACAACGCGATTCCTACGACCGCGGAGAGCCACGAAAGCGTGGAAACAAGCCACTTAAGCAACAACCAACGGCCCCAGGAGACAATGCCCGGCACTACGCTCTGCCTACGTCTGCCTACCCACGTTCCCCTATCTTTCCGCGTTCTGCGTGTCGCCTTATTTTTGACCTCCGTGCGGAGGACCCGCACCTACGCGTAGTAAATTATCGCCTTTTAAATCGGATCCAGGCAATTAGCCATTACCGTCAAGCGCGGCTACCGAGACGCGACGTGACAACGTTAGGCAAAGGACGAAAAGAGAGGCAAAGACGGACCTTTGATTTTTCTGGTACATTGAGAAAGAATTTAGCAACAATTGCAGGATCAAATGATGATTGGTGTCAATGACACGTTTGATAACAGTTATATTATTATATAATCTAGTTGGATGAACGAAGTAAGAAAAAGGAAAGAGAAATTTGTATTTATTTAAATCTTTGTGTGTAATTATTATTATTAAATTTTAATAGTAATGAAAAAGATTTGAAACTATTAGATTATTCTGTCGAAATTCATAATTAAATACACTTGGTACATCAAACTTTTTCCTATGTAGTTATATAAAAAAAAATTAAAAAATGTAAGATAGTAGAAATCCAGAGATGGTGTAATAATAAGACATAAAAAGCCAACAAAGACACAAATTTTTTTTTCAATTCACATTTCGATAATTGAGCATTAAAATAAGAATGTAGGCTATATGCGACTATACTGCAGAGAAGAGAGAAAGAATGAAGGAAAAATCATGATGTTCGCAATGGAATCTCCCCGAGAAGCGTGCAAAAGAAAAGATAATCATCTTCTTTCAAATGACAGCACGTGACTCTTTTCTTACTTCCTGATATAATTAGTCTTTTCGGCAGGGCAGATCTCTTCGGATGTTCGCGCCATTGTGCACAAAAAGCGAGGAAATTATTGGAAAATTTTCTAGTTTCTTGCCTCATATATATCTCGTCCAGTTCGGATCTTTTCTCCTTTTTCCTCCTGACGTTATTGGAATAGGCAATAAAAAAAAATCACGTTTTTTAAAATTCGTAAATGTCGCGTATCCGTGTTGTGATATCCATTTTTTCACTTTTCAAACGACATTTATTATATTTTTTTCTCTTTAGCGACGTTTACGAATACTCGAGCACATCGACGATGAGTAACACCTGATTACGTCACCGTGCAAGTGTAATGTATGCGTGCACCTGCTTGACGTCACGTTGTTATCTATGACGCCTCGCTATGTAGAAGCGTGTTTATTAGCGATCACCATTTGGACGCGCGTTGCATGCGCGAAACATTAAGCGTGAAGGCGATAGTACGTTCCAGACCGAGCTCCGCAGGCGGGACCATCTAATGTTTCCGGTTTCGTCTTTAATTAAACTCGCCACGCTCGTATATCAAATAATCGCGGTCCCTTATCAACTCGGATCGGCGGAAAGCGTCGCGAATCGTTGACGGAAACATGCACGTATCGCTTCTTCGACCGATACATTCTGACTTGGTATTCTCGCTATCAGCCGTGCCAAATAAATTATGAGCGTATATAATTAATGAGTCACACGCGAAACCGAGGCGTGCGAATTTTGTGCGCGCGGATTTTTATTATTGTTTGCGAGGAGCTGCGGATTCGATAGAAAATATATACGTGCGATTATTGTTCGATTAGCGGCAATTTTCTAAAATCGTATATAATTTTTATTAGTATCAATTATATCTATTTAATATAAACGTTCGAGTAAACGGCGAAGATATTTTAACAATTCTTTTCTGAACTCTTTTCTTCTCTTGCTGGGCAAGAAATCAATCGTTTTGTTAGGTTTGCTCGAAGTCGTTACAAGGGAAACTTAGAGAGCCGCGTATTACGCCGCTTTCCTACCAACTGATTTACGATCGCGTTAATTAACAAACGCGGACAGTCCGTGAATCGTTTACGGTCGTCATCTATCGTCGAGAAAACCTCCGTGGATCTTCTCCGCGCTCGGCGCGGAGTCGGCGCTCGAAACGCGGATAAAAATGCGCGCTTTCGTCAAAGTCACACTTTCCTTTCTGCGCGCGTGCTTTTGCGAGAGGCGAGAAAAGAAATGGATCTCGCGAGTCGTGACGAAAGCCGCGTCGAGCCGAGCCATGGCCGTACTTATGTCGGATGCGGTGCTCGGCGATTGTATAATTGCTCACTGTCCGAAAGCGGGATCGCTCGGCAACGATTCGCGACGGCGATAAAAAAAGCGGGCTTTGTATATGCAAGCGTGCGCCATGCGGCACGCTCGCTCGCCCGGCAGATGCACACGCGCCTCTTCTTCACGCTTTGAGAAAGCCGCCGAGTTTCCACGC